ATAAAGGAAATTTGGGAATTCCTTGAGATAAGTGAAAACTAAAACATAACATACCAAAACCTACAGGATGCAGCTAAAGAAAGCAGCACTTAGAGGGAAATTTAAAGCTGTAAATGCCTATATTAAAAATAAAGATCTCAAATAAATAAGCTAAACTTCCACCTTAAGAAGTGAGAAAAAAAGAGCAAACTAGACCTAAGCAAGCAGAAGGAAGGAAGTAATAAAATGCAAACAAACGAAAAGGAGAACAGAAAAATAAGAAAGAAAATCAGTGAAAACAAAAGTTGTTTCTTTGAAAAGATCAACAAAATCAACAAACTTTTAGCTAGAGCAACCAAGAAAAAGAGAGGGAACGCACAAATTACATAGCTGTTGAACAAAAGGACATTACTACTGACCACACAGAAATAAAAAGTACTGTAAAGGAATACTATGAACAACCATACACCAACAAATTAGATAACTTGGATGAAAAGGACAAATTCCTAGAAAAACACAAAGTACTGAAACTAACTCAAGAGGAAGTAGAAACTCTGAATAGACCTATAACAAGCAAAGAAATTGAATTAGTAATTAAAATGCTTACAACAAAGATTAAGTGCAGATCCAGAGGGCTTCACTGGTAAATTCTACTAATCATTTAAATAAGAATTAATATCAATCTTTAACAAAGTCTTCCAAAAAGAAAAAAGAAGAGAACACTTCTCAACTCATTCTACAAGGCCATTATTACCAAAACTACACAAAGTATCACAGGAAAACTACAGACCAATATTCTTCATGGATATAAATACAAAAATCCTCAATAAAATACTAGCAAACCAAATCCAGCAATATATAAAAAGTATTATACACCTAGGATTTATCCTAGGAATGAAAGATCGGTTCAGTATACAAAAAAGTAATTAATATAACACACCATATTAATAAAATTTTAAAAAATAATGAAAATCACAGGATCATGTCAATAGACATAGAAAAAACATTTGCCAAAATCCAACATGATCTTATCATAAAAAGCATTCAACAAACTAGGAATAGAAGGGAACTTCCTCAATCAGATAAAGGACATCTATGAAAAACTCACAGCTAACATCATACTTAATAGTGAAAAATGGAATGCTTCCCTCCTAAAATTAGGACAAGAACATGATGTCCTATTTCTTACCACTTCCACTCAACATTTCACTGCAGGTTCTAGCCAATGCAATTAGACAAGAAAACAACAGAAAAACTAGCATCTAGACTGGAAAGGAATAAGTATAACTATTTCTATTCATAAATAACATAATTTTGTATATAGAAAATCCTAAGGAATCTGCTAAAAAAAAACTATTAGAATAACCAGTTTCAGCAAGGTTGGAGGATACAAGAATAATACACAAAATTCAATTTATTTCTATACAATTATAATGACCAACCCAAAAATGAAATAATGAAATTAAGAAACAATTCCATTTTCAATCACATCAAAAAAAAATACTTAAGAAGATGTTTAACAAAAATAGTATAAGACTTACACACTGGAAACTACAAAAAATTGTTTGGAGAAATTAAAGACAATCTAAACAAGTGGAAAAAAATGCCATGTTCACAGACTGTTAAGACTTAATGTTATTAGGATATCAATACTCCCCTTATTGTCTACATACTCAGCACAATTCCTATTATAAGCTGAGCTGCCTTTTTTGCAGAAATTGAAAAACTGATCCTAAAATTCATAAGGATATGCAAGGGACCCAGGATAGTCAAACAATCTTAAAAAAGAAAACAGAGATGGAAGACTCACACATCCCAATTTCAGAACTTACCATACAGTCGCAGAATGCAACACAGTACAGTACTGGCTTAAAGATAAACATGTAAAACAATGGAATGGAATTGAGAGTTCAGAGATAAACTCGTACACTTATGGTAAATCTCGACAAGCATGCCAGCCGAAACAATTTAATGGGAAAAGTAGTCTTTACAACAAATGTTCTAGGGGACAACTAGATATCCACATGCAAAAAATCAAGTTAGACCTCTTCCTTACACTATACACAAAAATTAACTAAAAATGGATCAAAGACTTCAATGCATGTGCTATAAGTATAAAACTCTTAGAAGAAAACATGGCAATAACTCTTTAAGACCTTAGTTTGGATTAGGCAATGGTTTGTTAAACACGATACCAAAAGTACAGGCGACAAAAGAAAAACAAGGTAAACTGGGCTACATCAAAATTAAAATCTTCTCAGCTATAAATAATGCTATCAAGAAAATGAAAAAACTCCACAGAATGGGAGGAAATAATTGCAAATCATGTATCTTAAGAGGGACTGGTATTAGTCATAAAGAACTCTTGTAACTCATTAATAAAAAGATAAACAGTCATTTAATAAATTTAATAAAAATTAAATAATGGGCAAATGATTTGAAAAGATGTTTCTCCAAAGATTTACAAATGGCTAATAAGCACATGAGAAGATGCCCAACATCATTAGCTCCCATGGAAATGCAAAGGAAAACAGTTCATTTAAGTCAATTTGCTATTCAATGAGATACCATTTCACACCCATTAGGATGGCTATAATCAAAAAGAGAGATAATAACAAGTATTGATGAGGATGTGGAGAAAATGGAACACTACACATTACTGGCGGGAATGCAAAATGGTGCAGCCACTTAGAAAAACAGTTTAGCAGTTCCAAAGGTTGTAACATAGAGTACCATTTCACCCAGCAATTCCACTACTAAGTACATACTCAAGGGAAATGAAAACATAATCCACACAAAAACTTGTACACAAATGTTCATAGCAGCATTCTTCATAATAGCTGCTAAGTGGAAACAACCCAAGCGTCATCAATTGATGAACGGATAAACAAAATGTAGCATATCCACACAATGGAATAGTATTTGGCAATAAAAAGGACTGAAGTACTAATACAATCACTCTCCATATCCACAGATGCAGAACCCATGGATACACAACGTCAACTAAGGAACTTGAGCATCCTCGGATTTTGGTATTGGGTGGGGAGGTGGAGGAGGCGAGGTGGGGTCTTAGAAACAATCCCCCACAGATACTGAGGGACAACTGTATATGCTACATCATGGACGAATCTCAAAAAAAGTATACTAAGTGAAAGAAGTCAGACACAAAGACTATTTATTGTGTAATTCTATTTATATGAAAAATAAGAATAAGCCTATCTATAGAGACAGAAAGGAGATTAATGGCTGCCAGGGCTGGGGTGATTGGGAGGATGGGGATGAGGAGTGACTGCTAATGGGTATGGCTTTCTTTTTGGGGTGATGAAAATGTTCTAAACCTAGATTGTGATGATTGTACAACTCTGGGACTATACTAAAATCACTGAATTGTATACTTTAAATGAGTTAATTTATGACATGGGAATTATGTTTCAATAAAATGTTTTTATTTTGGTTAACACCAAACTATAGTGTCTAAGGAAGCAAACTGGATCTGCAAATTATAAAAAGAAAAATGCAAGTGATTACTATGAAAGTTATGAGAATGGTTACTTACGGTAGAAGAGAGGGATATGATTGACACAGGACACATGGAAGTTTCAAAGGTAACAGACAAAGTGCTATTTCTTGACCTAGGGTTACTGGCATTGTAATAATTCATTAAAGCATACATTTTATTTGGGTGGTTTTCTATATCTGTTGTTTTACATTCTTTTCTTTTTTTTCTTTTTTTGAGGAAGATTAGCCCTGAGCTAACTGCTGCCAATCCTCTTCTTTTCACTGAGGAAGACTGGCCCTGAGCTAACATCCATGAAGAGATGAAGAGCCATCTTCCTCGACTTTATATGTGGGATGCCTACCACAGCATGGCGTGCTGAGCGGTGCCACATCCGCACCCGGGATGTGAACCGGAGAACCCCAGGCGGCCAAAGCAGAACGTGCTCACTTAACCACTGCGCCACCAGGCCGGCCCCAAGACTTTCTTTTCAAAAGAACATTTTTTGATTTTTTTTAAAAATAGGAATTTGAGATTATATGCTAATCATCTGACTAAATTATTAAGACGATGAAAATATCCTATATCTGTACTGTCCAATATACAATTATCAAGCACTTGAAATGCGGCTAGCATGATTAAGGAACTGAATTTTTAATTTAATTCTAATTTAAATTCAAATTTAAATAGCCATATGCGTCTGGTGGCTACCACATGGACAATGCAAGTTTAGAGCGTACAACTCTATTTTTGAAATTGAACTGAACAGAATCTATTTTGAAATTTTTGGCAGATATATATTTTCCAAGAACAATGGATGAATAAGCTAACCTTTAAAACATTAAAAATAAAATTTATATATCACAGAAATGGCAGTTTTGTGACAACTACCATTTGTTTTCAAGTCTGCATAAACTTCTCAAAGAGCAATGAAATAAATAGGGCCTAGCATCCTTTTATATATATATCAGAAAAGTTTGAAATCAGATGTTCTCCTCTTACTGGATAGAGTTCTTAACATGCCAAAGAACTGTAACAGCAGCCGTATTTCCAGATTTCATTCAAACTCTCAAGAAAATGAAAATAGCAACCTAATTTGAACATCACTCAAATGATTTCTACAACTTATCACCAACCCCGACCCCTGCCCTATAACAGACTCTAAGAACCACTAATTCCACCAGAATCTTGAACAAATCAAGTCTAAAGTGTTTCCGTTACCCTCCAAATTGTTTCCCAGTCCTAAATTCTCCAGATTCAGTTTTATGATCAGGTTCTCTCACTAAAGAGTGTCCTTAACATTCAATCACTCGACAAACAATTATTGACCAATTACTAAGTTATATCAGGAAAGAGATGAAAAGTAGAATCTTTTCCTCAAAGAAATCATAGTCTAGAGGGGGGCAAGCAGTAAACAAACCTCTAGCATTGAGCAGTGTGTTTAAGTACCATTTGCATTTCTCTATGGTTGAACAGAAAAGGAGGATCTAATTCCCAGATACAGAAAAGGGGCTGGGGAAGCGGCATGACAGTAGAGGCCTCCCTGAGCTCAGTCTTGAAAGGTAAGCAGGAGCTACCAAAGCAGTGAAGGAGAGAGAGAAGTGTTTCAGGCAAGGAGAAAATGTACAAAGGCACCAAGGCCCAAGAGAACTCAGAACTGAGGCCAGGTCAGCACTGAAGCCCAGAGTGGCGGGGTCCGAGAGAAGCAAACGCTAGACAGATGGGAAGAGACCCAATCCTGAAGCCCTTTGTTTGCACTGGAGTCTGGATTTTATCTGGAAGGTGCAGGAGGCCAAAGAATTTTGAGCTCAGGAATAATGTGATCAGACTACCATTTAAAAGAACAAAAATCACTTTGCAACAGTATGAAGTATAAATAAGAGAAAGTCTGAGATCCGAGCAGGAAAAGCACTTTAGAAATCATTATAACAGCACAGGTGAAAAGAAATGAGGGTTCAAACTAAAGCAGAGACTGTAGTGATGGAGAGAAAATGATGCACTTGAGGGATACTTACAGTATGGAACATCAACTGACTGTATATGGGGGTAAGGAGTAAAGAACTAGGGGGAGTTCCAGATTTCTTACTGGAGAAAAAGAACACTGTCACTCACCAATAAGAAAAGAATACAGGCGGAACAAGAAGCATAGGCTTGAGAGGCAATTTTGAGTTTTGAAGCTCAGGAAGAAAGCAGTAATTAGTAAAATCAATAATATCAAATGTCTCCAGGGAGTTTAAGGAACCTCAAGTCTACAGGTCCCATGTCAGACTTACTGAATTAGAAACTCTGAGGATGAAACCCAGTAATCTGTATTTTAATCACCCTCTGGATAATTCTGGTGTATGCTAAACTTGGAGAACCACTGGTCTTGCCAAACGCTACAGATAATACTGGCAAAGGATGAGGCAATCGGGTGAGCACTGATGATACGAGAAGGGGAAGTTTATTATTAGGAGGAGCAGAATCCAGACTACAAAAGATTTAAGAATAAAATGGAGGAAAAGAAACAGAGACAGCACATGTAGACCACTAAGCTTGAAGATAAGGAATGAGAAGAGAGACAGACTAAACATAAAGGTGAGAGAAAATAATCAAGAGAATAAAGTCCTCCAAAAGGTAGGAAGGGATTGGGAGCCCAGGCAGAGGAACTGAGCTTGGAAGAGTAGGGCAGGCACTGCAGTTGCCTCCCGGTCCACTCTCCTTCCTGGATAACAGAATCCTAATTTTGTTCTTCTCCAGGAGGGCTGGAAGGCCATGACTCTTGACTAGTCTAAGCCAGTCTTAGGACTTCTATACCTCTTGCCACTGACTGGTTTAGAAATGGCTTATATCATGTAAGTTGGCTAGTGAAGTCAAGTCTGCTGGGAGACTTCTGGGGAAGATTTTTCACTTAAAAAAGACATAAGAGAGATGCTATAGCCTGAATGTTTGTGTTTCCCCCAAAATTCGTATGGTGAAGCCTAATCCCCAGTGTGATGCTATTTGGAGGTGGGGCTTTTGGGAGATAATTTGGGTTAGATGAGATTATGGGGGTAAGTACCCCCATAATAGGATTAGTGTCCTTATAAAATGAGAAAGAGACTAGAGCTTTCTGTCTCTACCATGTGAGGAAACAGCAAAAAGCTGGCTGTCCACAAGCTAGGAAGGGGCCCTCACCAAGAATCAAATCTTCAGGTACCTTGATCTTGGACTTACCAGACTCCAGCACCACAAGAAATAAATATTTGTTGTTTAAGCCACCCAGTCTACAGTATTTTGTTATAGCAGCCCAAACTACAAGAGACACCTTCTTTTCTTATAGTCTTGGATGCCTTGATATGAGGATGTAAATCTTGGACCTAAAGCTGGCTGCCTTCTAGAGACCAGGAGGAGACAAGCCTGAGGACAAAAGCTAACTCATCCATGACAGCAGAATGGAAAGACAGAAAGATCCCAAGAGCCCAATGACAGCAGTTAGCTGACACCTGAACCAACTATAAAACCATCTTTCTTCCAGATTTCTAGTTATATGAGATCATAAAATTTACTTATTATTTAAGCCATTTTCAGTTGGGTCTTCTGTTACTTGCCAGCTAAAGGATTCTAACTGATATAGAAAGAAAGGTATGTTCACTGAGACAGGTGTGGATGAAATTAACTTTGCCTAGTGGAGACAGAGGAATTTGAGGGAGTTTCAGCCTGAAGTTTCACTTATTAAACAAAATGAAGCTCATATAGATCTATTTTATAAAAGGACTGGCCTTAACAGCTCTTTTCTGCTTTAAAAAATCTAGTGTTTCTAATGATAACAATAGCTATTAATGAAGAAGATGATGATGATAAGCTCATGGTTATTAAAGCATTTTTTAAAAGCAGGCATTTTATCCTTGTATTGTTTACCTTTTGCATTCCATTTGACTTCCATAGTGAAACCATACCAATCTCTTTTACTTTCTAACAATTTTCAAGTCCGTTTCATCTTTCATACTTTCATAGTATATAACACTATACCAAAATATAGTTTACAGAAGGAATCTTTAACTTTGAAGAACAAATACTCTGAAAACCAAAAAATTTATGAAAAGATTTCTATTTTTATTTCCACACATTTTCTAAATCTGTTCAGGAAAAGAAAACATTTCAACCACATCTGCGGAATGCTACCTTTGATTCATATCAGAGGGTGGAAAATCAACACTGTAGCCACATAGATAAACACCAGACAAAGCATGATTTGAGCACAAATAACAAAAAACACTACAATTGTGTGCCTTTCCAAGCAGTCCCCAAATGGTGAGAAAAATTTTTTGCAAGTTAACTTCTAAGACAGTTTTTGAAGCCCAAAACATTTTTCCTATAGAAACAATGTTACTATGAGTCATTCCATTACTAGGAATAATAAAAGCCTTATAAAACCATATGCATAAGACTATTGTTTGAACTACACCCAAGCAGAATAATACTTTTTCCTTTGGAAAATACATCATTTTCTCCCTCCACCCTCTACCAAGTCCCAGGGGAACGGGCCTAGTCATGGATTCTGTTCACCTCTCCAACGCCCTCTCTCTTCACTCTCTACTCGCCACACTCTGCCACACTGTACTTCCTCAAGCTGCAGGGCCTTCTCCTCTCCAAGTCACTGCTCTCATGCCCTTCCTGTCCTCTCCTTGGTCACCTCCACTCAGCCGTTTGGTCTCAGCTTAAATGCTCCTTCCTCAAGAAGGCACACTTGTCCCCACACTAGTCAGGTGTCCCTGCTACACTTCCCCACCACAGCATTTATCACACTTACTATAATCACTTAGCCTATCTCCCCTATAATCTTCATGTCGGGGTTACACTTTATTTGCCATTATTTTAACCCCAGAGCTTAGAAGAGTGGCTGGCATTTTGAACATGCTTAATACATATTTGTTTGTATAATGAATTTTCACAAGAGAAGAGAATTTTCACAATGCATTTTTAACCTGATCTGTGGAATATTTAACCTGATCTTATGCTCATTACTAAGGAAAAAAGAGTCCAAAGAAGACGTCTCCACTTCTGAATACATACCTACAGATTGTTCATGGGGAGAAGGTTACTATCCAACTTCTTCCCCACTGCTGGTTTATAAAGCAACTTAAAGGGATCATCAAAATTCTAGCAAACAGGATTATTACCTTTTCAAATGCAGCTGAAATCACACTAAACCATCATGTATTCAGTTACAAAATTTTGCCATAAATTACACTCATAATTTCAGTGATCATGTTATTCCATCACCTTGACATATTGTAGTTCATTAAAACATTCACCAAATTTCAATAATTTAGTTCAACATTGACTGAACAACTACTGTGTGCCAGGCCCTGAGGCACAACTGACCACCCCTAACCTCAAGAACAGCCCAGTCAAGGGGCAGGGTTTGACTCATACACCCAGGACTGCAGTGCAGGCCTGGGTGCAAATGAGCGGGCAGCTCACCAGCAGTGCTGAGTTGGTCAGGACGCCCCCTGCATCCCACTGCAGCTCTCAAGGGATGAGAAGTCAACAGGAGGTCAGATGGAAGAGGGAGAAAACACATACACATGGCCAAGGCATAAGAAGCTGAAATCATACATGTTCAGAGACAGGCAGTGGCTGGGTTAGCTATAGCTCAAGAAACAAATAGGAGGGAATGACCGCAATACCTTAAAACCTCACCAGAACTGAGAGTTACTTTAAGTTTCAGTACTTTCGAGAGAAGAGAAGGGGTGACTCAAGATTGATTTAAAATGCATTTCTTTGATTACCATGATGATGAACATATTCCCACATTATTATTAAATGTATTACTCATTATCTGCTAAAATTCTCTGTCCACTTATGTACTAAATCTTGATTTTTTTTCCTCATTAAGTTTGAGAGAGTTCTTCAGGTATTACAGATATTAACCCTTAGTCATACTTGATATGAACATTTCCCCCAGTCTATTATTTTTTCACTGTGAATAAGTCTTAAATTTTATATATTCAAAACTGTTGTTCTTTTCCTTGGTGAGTTTTTCATTGCTCCGATACTGAGTTACTGATCTTTCACAAATCTGATAAATATTACATTCTATTTTCTACTTTTTCTGAAATTTGATTTTAAAACTACTTAGCTCTTTAATAAAAACAAATTTAGCTCTGGATAGCAGCTAGACCTGATCCAGGCACGATGTGCATAAACACGCACATATAATCGCTAACCGTCCTCTCCCAACCCTGCTTCCACTCCCTCTGCTAGAAGATAGCTGGGAACTCCCTTTCTTCCAAACGCATTCATTTTCATTCAAGTCCTCCTACATAACAATGCTGGGAAGAAGGCAGCTGGAGTAGCTGTCCTTTGCACTGTCTTTAGAGATGGCCCTGAGACATCCACATACTCTATGAAAGAATTAAGAATTAATATTTTAAAGTACATATCAAGGTCAGAAAACACTTAAGGGATGCATCAGCAATAAAAAATCAATGCTGACTTTAAAGTGCTGGTGGCAATATTCACTGCTATATCTTCTAAGCCACCCAAACTAGAAACAAATAATCTAAGGTTTCTTTCAGGGCCTGGCATGACATAGCCT